TTTTTCCTACCTTAGCAACCGGCTTCACACTATTCACTTTGGGTGACCACCACTACTCTTCGCCTCACCCGGTTACGAGCGATGGCATCCAAGGAACTGTATTTATGCCTTTGCTTTTTTTCCTGTATATCAGTGGTACTGGCATGTACCTCAAAAATGACAAACTATTTGCTGATGACAACAAAATTGCCTATAAACAGCGTGATGCGATTCAGAGCACACTACTTTTAGTTTAAAAAGATTTCCACTCCCTTGAGGAATGGTCCGACACGTGGCTGATAAAATTCTCGACCGACAAATACATAAAATCAGACATGTCATGTGGTTGCTTGATCTCCGATGGGTCAATTAAACTTAACCACAAAAGTATGTCCATACGGCAAATCTACCCGTATATTTGAAATCCGCTATTTTTCAGACTTCCGCTTTTCTAAACAAGTCCAATACTAACTGGAACCAGACAATGCGTGACTAACATTATCACAAAATTCATACAGTTCCTACCAGATTAGAATTTTTTAAAACCCTCACTCGTCCCATTCTCGAATACTGCAACTTCATTTGTGGCAGCTTGCGGAAGTTAGAGAGGAAAGCTACAGAAATTTTACCGAGGTCATTCACCAAACGTTAGTTCAATAACACATCAACCCTAAACTGCGGCAAACAGCTTCACATCGAGCATTTGACTGCGACGTCTAAAACGAAATTTGATACTTCTTCACAATTTATTGAACCAGAGAACCTTAGAGACAAAACGCACTAGTCAGCACAGACTCCGTAACCAAAAATTTGCGCTGTTGATACCAAGGGCTAGAACGACCATGCGCTCCAACTTTTTCCTCATCAGATACACCGTCTTGTGGAACAGCCTGCCAACCGCAATCAGGACATTTGAAAACTAAGGCATTCCACACTAAGCTTGACAACTTCTTAAATCTAGTAGTGTTATTATCCATGTCCACATCCAACAACTCACCTGATGAAATATTCCAGAATGATCCAAAAGTATCCAAAACTCAAAAGCTTAGTGTCAACATGCACTCATGCAAGAACAGGATCATTTCTATATACATACTGATATGTTCTTAATTTAGGTTCCGTTTCTCACACCTTAAAGAAATCTACGTATATATCCAGCTCCATTCATACACACACCCCATATCCAGTGTTAACCGGAAGGCATGTGGATGGAAGTCACGTTTCATCAACAGAGCCGGGCCACACCGCTTCAGCAAGCACAGCAACATTCCTATTTAAGTTGGGAATCATGCGTACCAGACGTACACAGGGCGGTGGCTGGGCCGTAGATGGAACCACTCTTTGAGCCTAGCACGGTCACGAAGACCGTGCATCCCGTCCCTCCCCAGCAACGAATCAAAGTCTTCTGGAACCAGTAATCGGGTTAGATGGTAGACACCTCACATCAAGCGCAGCCGCACCGGGGATTTCAATTAACAGCCAGCGCCTGAAATGCAAGAAACTCAGCACGCTTGCACACGTAAAGACCAAATGCAGCGATGATGTAGCACACGTATCGCATCGACCGCATCATTGGCCTGGATTAGTAAGCGGAATAGAATAGAAAGCAGCGTACTTACAAGCTCTGCGCTGATGCTGACTCGTCGCCTCTTCGGTGTTGGACTCGCATGGTGACGCTAGTCGCTTACAATACCGGCTTGGCTTAGGCACTCGCAACCATCTGTGCTACAGTATCATGCACTGGACGTAAATGACCTACCCTCCGTCAGCGCCTGTCGCTTTCGTAGCCGGCGTTTGTTTTCCGCATACAGTAGTGATTTCTCATGCACCTGGGCAACCGCCTTCTTGATATGCTCACGCCATTGGCGCCGATTAACCGTCTTTGATTCCAGGCATTTGAAATCAGCATTAATTTGTGTTAAACTCACCTTGATCTTATCACAGTAACATAACCACCATTTCCCCACGTACCGCTTCCCTGCACACAGTTGACCATTTAGCAACTGTTTAGGTATCCGGGTCGAATCCATGTGGTGAAAATGCGCACGCCGCAGCAGAATTATCTAGTCCATTGCATACACGCCAAGGCGGCGGAGCAACTCGATCACTTCAGCCGATCCACAGAATATGACTCAGACATTGGTTTTGAACTCGTTCCAGATATCGGACATCCTTCCTTTACATCGTCCAGGTTTCGCTGCCTTATAGAACGGATAGCACCATCGACCGGTATACATTCAGCTTCGTCCCAACAGTAAGCTGGCGATTGTTCTACGCATGTTTTTCCAGCTTGTCGAGTGCGGCAGCCGCTCTCGGTACACAGATGCGCAGCTTGATCGTCATTTGCAGGTTGGTACAAATCGCACTGTTTAGATAGCAAAATCCAGAATGTCGTTGCCATTGTGAATGTGCGGCAGATCCAGGGATTCCATTTTTGGTGAAGGCTAGCAAGACGATTTTGCTTGTGTTGATAGTGAAGCCGAATTTGGTCACCATCGAACAAAGAGACGAAGTTGTGTTTCAACTCATCCGAGCTGTGCGCAAACCACGCATAGTTGTCAGCGAACAGCATCGGCACACTTGCCGTTTCACAGCTGAGCAAGTACTCTCTGCGTCTCATCTAGTGTAGGAATGTTCGCCAGACACCATATCGTGCTGCTTCACACCGTTCAAAGTAGATCAGTCGATCTCTGAACGGTTGTTCAAGAGACAGTCAAAGTGTTTTTCGCCAGATCTGCGTTATGTCTGCAGTCTGTGTTCAGATAGCGCCTGAACTACCATCGATTAGCATCCTCAGCGGCTCCAACCTCGGTCCATACGCCACCTTCAAGGAGTCAAAGAATTCCATGTGTTGGCGGCGTTCGGCGTAGCATTCCATCTGCTTCGTCCTCTAGGTTCACCATGCATTTTTAATGTGACCGAGCTCTCGGGTCAGTTGCCGTCGAATTTTGCGAAGCTTACTCTTCTTCAAGTCACTGGGGTCTGGCACATGTGCATCGAATGCTGCATTCTTCTCTGACACCAATGCGCAAATCGTCGCATTGTTCTCATCCAACTAATCGGGACGCTTACAGTTTGTGCGCCCGATGGTCTCCTCGGCAGCAGCTGTCACGTGGTCGCGAATGTGTTGCCGCAGGTTGCCCACTGTGGTTATGCATTCCACATCATACAGGTGTGCAGCCATCGCCTTCTCCACAGCATTGCGCTTCTCCACCGTACCGAGGGAGAGAATGTTATGTTTGCGTCCATTTACGGCGGGAGTACAATACATAGATGTATGAAAATATATGTACAGTTTGGTCCGCACGAATTTGTGATCAGTGTCACACTCAGCTCCACGCAGTACACGTGTCATGCGCACTTCACGCATATCACGCTGACGTACGATGACATAGTCGAGCATGTGGGCGTGACCACTCCGTGGGTGTGTCCGAGTTGCTATATCACTCGCACTCAGCGCAAACTGTGTGTTCGTGATCGTCAGGCCGTGAGTGGCACACAGTGAGAGCAGCCTGTCACCGTTCGCATTCGCTGAACCAAAGCCATACGGACCGATTACATCTGTCCACACCGATGCATCACGCCCAACGCGCGCGTTGAAATCACCCAGCAGAAATAATCGGTCGCTCTTCGGCACAGACGGTATCACGGAGGATAGCTGAGTGCAGAATTGACAACGCATGTCATCAGGATAACACATTGTTGAACAGTACGTGTTTATCAAAGTTGCAAACTTATCTCTTTCGAGTCTCTGGCGAGCAGTCATCAGTTGCGAACTGGTGCCTGTTTGTTCACCCAGCAGTTAGACATTCAGGCGATCGGATGGGGCAAATCCGACCCTCTGTTCACGTGGTGCTGAGGTGGCGTTTCCCACCCAGTATAACATATAGTCAGCACCATCTTCATGCAACTTATCTTTCTCAGCGAGCTGGGTCTCGCTGAACGCCGCAATATCGATGTGGTAGCGTACCAGTTCCATCGCGACCAGTGCAGTGCGTCGCTGGTGGCGCTTACTCGTATTTCGGTCCAGTGGTGTGTGCACGTTTCAGCACCCGATGTTGAGTGCTTTGCGCGCAGGCACACGATTACATTGGTAGGTAATCGCACGCGTGTTGGTGGCTATGCTTCAGAGGTTTGCTTGAGGGACTTCACCCGGAACATTTGTGGCTCAATAACCTGACCGAGAAGGCCTTGGTATATATATATATATATATATATATATATATATATATATATATATATATAATATGAATTTTTCGTCTGCAACCTCGCGCACATTTATGATGTTGTTCTGCATCCAGAGACTATTTTCAGTTATGTGGGGTCCCGTACACGGATATTAGATCTATGATGTAGGTTTATTTTGGCGCAGGCATTGTGTGATACGAGGGAACTGTCTACTCTATGTTGTTTAATCCTTGCACAATATCCATCTGTTTGTGACGGTTTGTTATTGATAACGAGTACGTATATTGACGCTATATGATTGCTTCGTCATTTACGCTTTGATATAGGTTCCCTACCCCTCCGCTATCTATGTCTCATTCCCTGTCGTTATCATTTTGTGACGGTGAAGCATCATTTCAACTTGTCTATGTACCTCGGTTTCTATTGCTTACCAATTTTATGAATGCCGCGGCGAAAGATGTCAGCAACTCACATATATTGTCTACCGTGAACTAGTTTAGCTCATCTCTATACTTATACGTTTATATTCAATTCCTTGTTTTTGACCTTCCGCGCCTCAGATTCGCGGGTCTGATGCTGCTACCCTTTAGCTGCAAAATTCGTTTGCGGGCGCGTAGTCACCTATTCCTACGGTTCCCATTGATCATCTTGCGATTCAAGATGCATTTGTCGTGCAGTTTACACTATCATTGCTTTCTGGTATCACACAACCTTTAGACCTCATCGTTATAGACTCTTCTATATTACTCTTGTGCTTTACTTCGCACCTTGGGTCTATTAGTGCTTTAACATCCATTCATCCTGTTTTGTCTTTTTACGACTTCTTTCACTAGTCCTGCTGTTCCGGAATGGCGCGTTGTGCTACGCCTTGGCTGGGCCACTTCCAGTTTCTACGTTCCATGCACCACTCCAAATAGACAATTCCCATCACCCCGTGCGCTTGCTTTGGAATCTCTCCCACGATGTTTGGTTGTTCGTGTGGCGGGTCGACAGGTTTCCTTACCTGATCCGATCTTTCACGGTGGGCAGGCACAGCGTCTGGGCAGGCGACTCAAGTTGTCCATCGACATTACGGACAAGGTATGTTCTCTTATGTTTGAAACATTACTTTTGGTGCATCGCGTTTTATGTTTGGAATCATGTGCGTCTGCATGTGGTTTAGTCTATATGAATACCCTAACATTATGTAAAACTAGGCTTTTTCCGATGTTCTCGCTTGGTATCCCATAGTGAAGTCACTAATAAAGTTCTTTTTGCATTTTTGGTTGCAGTATGCACTGAACATGGCGAACCCACTGTATGGTGCACTCAGCTTTTGGCTCTTGATACCCATCACTTTGTTTATGACTTAAACATTCATTTCGGACGCAGTACACCCTATTTTCATTCATCAGTAACCTCTTGGCTAAGCCGAAGTTGGTTCGTTCGCACAACGATAACAAAAGCTTCACACCAGACATCAAGGCAGAGATCAAGTGGGGTCGTCTCATTAGGGTCATTCCACTTCACTGCAGCTTTGTGGCATCTCTTATTGGGTTAATATGTTTACTGAGCCACTCACGATCCCCAAAATGGAACGATGATTAATTGATGACGCGGCATGCGGGCATGGAGAATTTGACCAAGAGACTTGGTCAGACTGGTGTGTATCGTCTTCGTGGATGGAGTTTTAGGGATGGTCTTCATCAGTTTTTTGAAACCACCGCGAAGTATATATATATATATATATATATATATATATATATATATTCAACTACTAATTACAATAAAATTGGCTGAGTGCCCCAACACATATGAGAGAGAAAATAGCGTGAAAGGAAAAACAACTGTTAGGGTAGAAGAGTCTCACAGCAAATACACCATTGCGTATGGTCCTTGGCCATGCCCTGCAGTGTTTGCAACCAGATATGCTTTTTTGCTCCCCAACCCGGGAGTCTGGAACACCCGACAACAGCCAACTTCAACGCTTGTGCCTTAACGCATTGGATTCAAGTTTTACATTGCCCTCCTTTTCGTCGCCTCTAACCCACGTTTTTGCTCGCAAATAACGCTCGTCGTAGTAGCCGCTGGGTAGGAATGCGGAGCACATGCCCAAGCCAGCGAAGCCTCTGCAGTGAAATTATGCTCTCAATCCGTCGGCGGAGTTTGTTAGATCTAAAGACTCGCCGACGGACTTCCTCATTACTGATGTGATGCTGCCATCGAACACCAGCACTGTTTCGCATGCAGCCGTGATCGAAGCAGATAGCCACTGAACATCGCTTTTGCAAACGAGCCTAATCCCACAGTCTTACAGCAGAATCGCTCATACCGTAGCATTATACAGTCATCCCTTGAGAGCGATGATTCAGTAAAAGACGACTGCGATGATTCGGTAAAAGACGACTTCTATCGTCAATTGAATGAGCTCCTTCTCCACCGAAGACGCTCGGACACTGTAGTGCTGGCCGGGGATCTGAACGCTCAAGTTGGAAAATTATCCACAGATGAGCTGCATCTGGGCGGCCAACATGGTATAGGTTCCCGTAATGATAACGGTGAGCGGTTACTTCATTTGTGTGAGGATGCTTGCTTATTTCTTGCGAGCACTAATTTCCGACACTGTACCCGCCGGAGGGTGACTTGGCGCCCACCAGCCTCGAACCAGCGATGGACGCAAATCGATCACATTGCTATCAGTTACCGCTGGAGAGGCTGCGTCCAGAACTGTCGCTCGATTTGGAGCACAGGTGTTGACACCGATCATGCACTTGTATGTGCTGACCTGCGGATGAGTTTTGGCGGGCGCCAACGACGAGGTTGTGAGCGCATTGACGCCAGCCAACTGGCGAAGCCAGCTGTTCTGAATGCGTCTCGAAGTACACTGTCATGCGAGTTGGATAAGCGCTCACTGGATGCAATTGAAGGTCACTGGTTTCATATTCACCAGACCTTACTAGCAGCAGGCGAATCCTCATGTGTTAAGTCTAATCGCCAACATGGACATTGGGTCTCTTCACATTCTCTGGAACTTATCGATGTTCGCCGGCATATTCCGGCTGGAAGCGAACACAACGAAACACGCAAAGAGCTCCGGGCAGAACTCCGTGCTAGCCTGAAGAGAGACCGCGAATCCTGGTGGTCTCGTCGTGCAACAGAGATAGAAATGGCCGCTGCCCTTGGTAACCATCGTAAGTTATTCCGTCTTATACGGGAAACGGGCAGCAGGAGACCTGGTGTTAGTGAAACAATATGTGACGAGAGTGGACAGCCTATCCACAACGTTTAGAGCGTTGGGCTGAGCACTTTGAACGGCAATTTAATCGGTCGGAATTGTTAGATTTCTCGCCGACCAGTGATCGCCCTGCTCCGTGGGCTGTTCCTTTGGATCCACCCTCTCGCTGAGAAGTCGAATGTGAGATCGAACTGTTGAAGTTAAATAAAGTCGCGGGACCAGATGATCTTTCTCCAGCCTTCTTCAAATTCGGGGGACCTGCTCTTATGGATGATTTACACGAGTTACTAGTGAGACTGTGGTAGCAGGAGACTGTCCCAACCGATTGGAGCCGCTCCGTCATAGTCCCAATTTTCAAGGGATGTTCACGATCGGAATGCGGCATTCGCAGAGGAATCAGTCTGATCTCCATCACCTCCAAATTGCTTGCGTATGTCATCCTTCACAGACTGACTGGCACTCGTGAAAGCCATAGTCGTGAAGTGCGAGCCGGGTTTCGTCGAGGTCGTGGCTGCATTGACCACATCTTCACTTTGCGTCAGTTATTGGAGCACCGTCACATATATTGGCGGCCCACCGTTGTCGTGTTCCTCGATATCAAAGGTGCATTCGATTCGGTGGATAGACATGCACTTTGGGACTGTCTACTCAGGAAAGGTGTACCTGAGAAATATGTGAATATTATCCGAGCATTATATGCGCGTAGCTCGGGCAGAGTGAGGGCTTACGGCAAGTTGTCGTCGCCCTTTAATATCTCCAGCGGCGTGAGACAAGGATGCCGCTGTCACCTTTCCTCTTCAACTTCGCTGTTGACGAAGTCATGGAAATCGCGTTCACAGGACACGACTTAGAAGGTGTGGATCTGCTCCCAGGAGAACGACTTCTTGATTTAGAGTATGCAGACGATATTGCCCTAATGTGTGATAGCTCCCAGACGTGCCAAGCGGCACCGGACAGATTAGCACTGGCTGTCAGCCGCTTCGGGCTTTGCTTTGCACTATCGAACTGCAAAGCTTTTCTCCGATATTGGCCTAGACCGCCTCCTTCGCTTACCCATGTTGGGATCAGCTAGAAGTCGTTCAAAAATGCAACTATCTGGGAAGTTGTATCAGCGCCCGTGGGATTGAAGATGAAATCACGAATCGTATAGCAAAAGCTCGGGCGCTTTTGCTAACTTTCGCCACTTATGGCGCCGGCTCTTGCCTTGAAGAGTAGAGTGTACAATGTAACGGTACGTTCGACCCTACTGTACGGTTGTGAAACCTGGCCCCTTAGAGCAGCGGATCTGAAGAGGCTAGTTGCGTTCGACCACCGGTGCCTTCGCAATTTAGCTCACATGTGGTGGGAACACCGCGTGAGTAACGAGCGTGTTCGACGCCTTGTTTATGGCACAGGAAAAGGAAATGAACCGCTCAGCACCGTTATTTCACGCACCAGGCTGCGATGGCTCAGCCACGTGTTACGCATGCCAGCCCACCGAGTTTCTGCGACGTGCGTTGTTTGCGCGCCGGGGGTGTGGATGGAAGAAGAGGAGGGGTGGCCAAGCGATGACTTGGTCGAGAGGAATGAAGGCCCTCACTTCTGATCTGGCCTCAGCTGGAGCGTCTCGGCTCCCTGGTTGGGGTCCGAAAGACGAGGAACATGTTTAGTTGGACACACTTGCTGATATGGCAAGGAGCCGACCTCAGTGGCGTTTGTGCTGTGATTTTCTTTGTCCCACCCCATCCCCCTTATCGTCCCCGTCCAACCACGATCTCACATTTTTCATAGTAGTTTTTTTTGATGCACAGTATCCGGCAGGTAGCTTACCGAAACAATGCTCATCCGTTACGGGCTGCTCAGATGGTTTGCACCTATTGCATTTTATTCCTTTTTTTATGTATTGCGGCACAGTAGCTGAGGTGTTTCCCACCTCTTGCTTGCGTGTAATACCCTTGAGAGCGACGCTATGTTCACGACGAATCCACAGGTGATGAAGGTTATCGAAAGCGACTCTAGCCTTGGGGACAAGCTGGGAGATCTCTGTCAAACCGCCAATACTAAACTCCCAACCACTTCCAGCGGATGACCCAAAAGGGTGAGAGCAGGACATGCGCTTATCCAGTCCTGTAATAAGACCTTACATTTGGAATTGTCAAAGGTCAACCCAAATTGGCAGGCGGACATCTCCAGTCTGAGCGGCACATACTAGGCGGCTTGGGAGGACTCGCAAATCACGATGTCACCGGCGTACTCTAAGTCCCGATGGCAGTCCACCAGGAGCAGTTCAACACCGCAGGACCCGGAGTTGTCCAGGGCAGTATCCAGTATCTCGTCCATAGCGAACAGGGATAGAGAGGCTGGACAATCCTATCTAACACCGCTAGTGATACTGAAAGGGGGTGGATAGTCTCCGTATACTCGCGTGCGGCCCGAAGGTTGTGCGTACTAGCACGGAGAATGTCGATATACTTCTCAGGTACTCCGTTCTTCAGTAAGCAGTCTCAAAGAGCCACTCTGTCAACAGAGTCAAACGCGGCTGGAATGTCCAAGAATATGCTTGTGGTTTGTCGACAGAACGTATGACGGTGTTCAAGTATCTGGCCGATCATAAAGATGTGATCGATGTAGCTGCGACCATCGCGAAACCCAGCTTGCTGTTCACGCAGGTGTTGTTTGCGTACGCAACTGGGCCTCCTCAAGAGTAGTGCATCGAGTAGTTTGGATGCACCTCATATGGGACTTCTCCCACGATGATTGGAGCCAACGGTCCGGTCTCCATTTTTGTAGACAGGTACAACATTCGCTAATTTTCAGTCGCCTGAGATGGTTTCAGTAGTCCAAATCTGATGCAAGCAGGATGTCAGTCCACGGGTGAGAGCAGGGC